AAATTTCCTCTTAATTAACTACTTCCGAACCCTGCTCGCATGCAAGTTACGCATCACGTGTATTGTTATATGGCTTTTTCGGAGATGCGAGATGTGAGCGATATGTGGTCAAGAATAGGTCCCCAGAGACGGCGCTGGTTGCCGGAAAGCAGAAACCTGCCTCCACTATGTTCGTACCCTAAGGCAACTCCTCTTTGTGGTAATCCTTCATTATCCAGTTCGAGATTTCGCTGATTCATAGCTGGCTCTCTGAGACCTTCGTCAATAAAATTATTTGCTATTTGGTTCTCAATCCTCATATTGTGCAGAATAGCACAAGCATTTACAATTCTTCCTGCTAGTCCCGATTCATACATTAATGGGCGCTCTTGGTTTAAGCAGCGGAATACAGATTTCAAGACTCCAAACGTGCTCTCTACACAACTACGACTTTGACATAGTGCTTCGTTATAAAAATATTCAGGTGTTCCTGGTTGCTGGTGAGGTAATGGGGTTAGAAGCCATGGTTCCAATGGATAGCCTTCATCTCCTATGAAAAGATACGGTTATTCACAAAACTTAAAAAAACATGTATTTACCTATCAGCCACGTTTGCCTTTCTCCTCTTTCAAAATTATGTTCCATACAACTTCGTACTGGAGAGTTCGACCAAATGTAGGCATCGTGACGTGCACCAGGAAAGCGAGCATTAATATTTAATATTTTATAATATGGGTTACATACCTGAAAAAATTCATGATACCATAACTCAAGAGAATGAAATCGCAACATTTGGGGCTCTCATTAACCTACCACTTGAACATTCAGAGAGTGATATCCATAACGGTTCACGTAGGCTTCTTCGTGGTCACTTGGTCCCCGAATAGATACATGAGTGCAATCCACCGCACCGATCGCTCCATAAAACGGTTGCATCGCGTTTGCAAATTTCAATTGTGCAGCATTCCTTTCCTCTGCAGTTAGCGGAAACCGTATTTTTCTTCTCAAAAAGACATTGTTTATAGAGTCAGTGACAGCATGTACACATCGACTCACAGATGGTTGACTCATAGTTAATCCTTCTTGATTTCCTACCGGATTTTGATAACTTCCGGTAGCATAAAACCGCAAAGCTATTAGAACCTACAGTAAATTATAAGCAATACCTATTATTGCTATATCTTATAAGATGAATATTTTTCAATGTCACCTGTTTTTTACGGATAATCCATAAGGACGTTGACGTGCCAAGTGAGGGCGAAGAGCTTGTATCAAATCTGTGGCCATATCAGGAGAAATACGGTACAAATTTATAAATTCATCATCTGGAAGTTCCAAAGGTTCCATGACATCTCTAGAGCCCTTTGTTCTACTCGGCGTTCCATTATTCTTACTCTTCTTTCCAAATGTAGTAAATCATAGGCAAGATACTCCATTTTTCAAATCAAAACTAAGAGCGAGGTCACAAGTATGTCAGGTTACAAAGTATTACCCCCACCAACTTGATTCTTTTTCGATTGTGCATCAAAAAGTAAAAAAAAACATTATTTGGCCTAGTAAATAGTGTAAGCAGAGGACAGAGGCAAACTTATTTCCGTTTCCATAACACAAGTTTTTTATTCGGACTACATGAAACACTAAACACGAAACGGAAATGACTCCACCTCTGCTACTCATAGTACGTTTTAGCGTATCCTAAAGCTAATTTTATTCTACAACGTTTCTCTACTTCTACCAATGCTAATTATTATTACTTACCTTCGTATGTATAATATGTACTTTTGTTTTCTCTTACTTCAAAATCTATGATGTGGTGGAAAAATCGCTAAAATTTTTCTTAATCACATCCAAACACATTTAATTTCAAACAATTTAATAACAGTCGTTCGACACGTTCGACGGTCGTGGAAGCTGTCGGTCGAGGAACGATTGTTTTCGCTCTGTTTCACCGATTTCGGTAGGCCGCGTAAAGTCCGGAATTGCAATATAAGGATTTCGGTCGGTCGACGTTTGACCGACACCGAAAATTGTCGTTGACTAGTACAGAATTTCACTCCTGGTCTGGAGACCCTTCTGGTATATGTGGGTAAACGTCAGATGTAATTAAAAAAGTAAAGAAACGTATTAAGAGTGTCTGTTATCCGACAAACTCCAATAAAAAATTTTGACAAAAAAAAACACCATAGAGATTATCACATTAAGTTCTCATTCTAGTGACTACTAATGAGGAAGACGATGACATGCTACTAGCATTATATAATACTATAATAAAATAATTGTATAATACCAATAATGGTGATGGAAAACCTTCGGCAAAGAAAATAAAAACTACAGTCACGCTCTATATTGGAATAGTTTGATGAAACTCTTGAACATAAAAACATGTATCTCCTCCTTTTTCCCATTTTAGCAGCTTATGCCAAAAAATATTTAAGCGCTCCCCTCTCAAGTGTCAATAGTAGGCGATTGCGACGTTGATTATATTAATATTTTGTTCATTTACCTTCAGTCAGTTTTTCCTTAACCTTATTAATCATGTTTAAACAATTTGTATCAATCATCATTCTTGGTGCCAAAGGCACTTGTATTTTACATTTATCGCTAGTGACATTCATTGAATCCAAATAATTTGTAGTTTCTTTACTGACTTGTACCTTAGGTGCAGAATTTTCTTCTTTATAATCAAAAGCAATGTCCTCTGCATAGGGTAGTTCACATACAATAAATCCCCTCGTATCTTTGTCTAATCTGGGGATATTTAATAAAATGTTTTTACCAAAAATTGAAAATGATATTATTATTTTAGAGTAGTACATTACCTTGGTATCAGTACTACATATTTTGGATTCAAGTTCGCATAGTATACTTTTTTGGCAACAATATATTTATCCAGTTCGATCATTACACTTATTAATGTCCAAAAGAACTCTAAGTAGCTATCATCTTGCACTCCAGTTGATACAAGTTTATAAGTTTCTTCCCCTTGGAGTAAATACTAAAATATAGCAATAAAAATGTATAGAAAATTAAGTTGTGTTTACTTGCCTCTGGTCAGGCGTATGACAAAAATAAAAGGACCAAGGTGTTTCGAGCTCTAACAGAAAACAGAATTAGGGATTAGCAAGAAATTGACCAAAATGATAAAATTGACACTCCAAGAGACCGTAAATGAAGTCAAAGTAAACAAGAAAACAACGGAAAAAATTATAATCAGGGACGGATTAAGATAGGGGGATCCACTATCTCCAGTACTGTTTAGTGTAGTATTAGAAAAAATTATAAAAGATGCGGGAATCAACAGAGAGGGCATTCTGTATACAAAAAGACACCAATGCTTAGCCTTTGCAGATGATTGAGTTATCTTAGCAAGAGATCGGAAAGAGCGATATCGGTGACCAAAAGCCTAGAAGATCAAGCGCAAAAAGTAGGCTTAGTGTTTAACGAGAAGAAAACGAAATTTATGGAGTGGTCCGACAGGGATTTTGAGAAGGGAAGATGTCTACAAATAGATTCTGAGAGAGGGAAACGATACAAGTTTGAGGAACTAGATACATTCACATATCTAGGAGTAGTAAGGAAACCAAATGTAACTCAAGAAATTATGGTAGGAAATAGATGTGTTAGCGCAATACAGAAAATTATTAAGAGTAAGGACTAGGGCTGTAACGAGCCCTGTTTTTTAACTTGACCGAGTACCGAGTACCCGGTTAAAGGTAATGGCCGAGTACCTAGTACTCGGCTGCCGAGTAGTCTTAACAGTTTTGCGACCTTTATCAATATATACTAATTATACTATACACCATAACATAATATTATATTTTATACATAACATAAATATAAATATACAGGGTGGCCCATCGAAAACGTTCCGTAAGGCATAACGGCTAGGGTATTCTTTTTTTTCAAAAAATCCAAAAACACGTCAATTTTGTTTTTTTTGAAAGACAACTTTTGCCCCAAAAACGATTGCAAAATCTTCAACTCTCTGAGCGGGGGTGTCATCCCCCAACTTTTTTCAAATGGAAAGACCCCCCTTCGTACCGAAGTCGTACCGCAATGAAAAGGGCTTTCTATTCTCTATACTTTCTTCGTTTTTAAAAATCGGTCGAATTATTGAGAAAATATGAAGGATTGAAATTTGAAAAGTTTATTTAAACATTTATCAGTAGTTTTATTATGTGGCATAAGGGTAAATTCTTTCGACCAATTTGCTGTTTTTTCTTATTATTTCTAGATGTTTACGCATTTTTTAACTTGCCACAAGGTTGAACGATCAGGTGCGGTAGTTGCTAGATAGCTGTTCTGTGACTTATGCGTTGAAGTTCTTCTCAATATCGTTAAACTTTTTAACAATTATTATGGAACAATTATTATTATCGAACTTTATTTTAAAAATAATAAATGTGGCAATCAGGTTGCGCAGATATTCAATGAACGCCATCCTGACAAAAACCTTTATGACAAAATTGTTCGCGAGTTAGTAGCAAAATTTCGCGAAACTGGTTCCGTTATGAATAAAAAGAGGCAGAGGGAAAATCCTGTAGTAAATGAAGCTATGGAGGTATTCGTATTGGGCCAAGTTGCCATGGATAGTACGCTGAGTACAAGAAAATTAGCCAATGGGACCGGCGAGAATCAAGTGTCCAAAGGATATTAAAAAAACGCAAGTTCCACCCGTACAAAATTCAGTTGGTGCATGAACTCAACGAAGACAATTTTGATCGTCGCTTGCAAATTTGTGAAATTATGAGTGCACGAGTAGCGAATAATAATAATTTCCTATTTAATGTGTGTTTTTCGGACGAGTGTACTTTCTTTTTGAACGATGTAGTTAATCGGCACAACTGTCTGTACTGGGCTGAGGACAACCCCAGGGTTTTTCACGAGGTGCACACACAAAACCCTCAGAAATTGAACGTGTGGACTGGTATTTTTGGAAATTCTATTGTAGGTCAGTTTAACGATATTGAGAAGAACTTCAACGTAGAGTTGTCACAGTTCAAAGTCACAGAACAGCTATCTAGCAACTATCGCACCTGATCATTCAACTTGTGGCAAGTGAAAAAATGCGTAAACATCTAGAAATAAGAAAAAACACAAATTGGTCGATGGAATTTATCCTTATCATTAACTCTGATAAATTACAGTTGAGGGTTGGAACCTTTGGTGTTACACAGCAAAATAAAACACTAAATCACCACAATACACCAAAACACTTTTACTTTTATACTGGACGCGCGTTTCGCTAACCATGTTAGCATCATCAGCAGTTGATTATAAACTGAATCTCTGAAACAACTCTGATAAATGTTTAAATAAACTTTTCAAATTTCAATCCAACCAAACCAAACCAAACCAAACATCTAGAAATAAGAAAAAAACTCAAATTGGTCGAAGGAATTTATCCTTATCATTAACTCTGATAAATTACAGTTGAGGGTTGGAACCTTTGGTGTTACACAGCAAAATAAAACACTAAATCACCACAATACACCAAAACACTTTTACTTTTACACTGGACGCGCGTTTCGCTAACCATGTTAGCATCATCAGCAGATATAAACTGAATCTCTGAAACAACTCTGCTAAATGTTTAAATAAACTTTTCAAATTTCAATCCTTCATATTTTCTGTACGACTCGACCGATTTTCGATATATAGAAAGCTCTTTTCATTGCGGCGCCACTTGTCCCCCCTTCCCATTTGAAAAAAGTTGGGGGATGACACCCCCGCTCAAAGGGTTGAATATTTTGCAATCGTTTTTGGGGCAAAAGTTGTCCCCCTCACAAACAAAATTGACGTGTTTTTGGATTTTTTGAAAAAAAGAATACCCTGGCCGTTATGCCTTGCGGAACGTTTTCGATGGGCCACCCTGTATAATTTAACATTAAAGAAAGCTAGTTAAAATTCCCGGAATTCCCCGGCCTTAAACCAATGATCTTGTTTGTTTTGCCTATGATTGGCGAGCGGATGGGATTCTCCGACTACAAACCAATGACCTGATTTGTTTTTCTTATGGAGATATTGTTTTATTCTGTGGTTCCCCATGCAAACTGATATTTCTAATGTGCTGGATTCTGAATTGATTCTTTTAAGGTGCGGTGGCGACGTTGATTTTATTTTAAGCAAAACTCATATGTGTAACTAATTTAAAAGTCAAAAATAATTCTAACAATTAATAATACCCTTTAAAGTTATATTAAAATGAGTGGCAGTGCTGACCTCTTTTAGATTATAAGTATTAAATTATTATTTCACTGTGTTTGTGTTATTACTTATTATTATTACTTTGCTAAAATACATTAATTATAGTTATGAATGAATAACTTTTTGTTTATTTTATTATTTGCCACTGTGAGTCTTATTTTTATCTGTTTTGGACATATACATTACTCGGCCTACTCGGCCGAGTAAGGCCGAGCACCAAGTACATATTACTCGGTTAAAATTCTGGCCGAGCACCGAACTACTCGGTACTCGGTGCAGCCCTAGTAAGAACATCTCTAGAAGTTTAAAAATCAGAGTGTACGAAACAATGTTACGACTAATAATGCTGTATGCATGTGAAACGTGGACGTTCAATGCAACGGAAAGTTCGGGGCTAGAGATTTGGGAAAGCAAAATACTGAGGAAGATTTTTGGAGGAAAGAAGATAGACAACATATGGACCAGAAGAACAAATGAAGAATTAACGCAACTATATCGGGCACCGAGTATAAGGGGAGTAGCAAGAGCACAAGGACTAAGATGGCTGGGACACATTGAGAGAATGGCTGAGGCAAGAATTCCTAGACCGAGAACGAGATGGAAAAAGGATGTTGAAGAGGACTTGAGAAGGATAAGAGTGAATGTGTGGAGAATAAAGGCGAAAGACAGAAACAAATGGAGAAAGATGTCCAATCAAGCCATGAGCCTTTTAGGCTTCTAGAGCTATTATATTATATTACTTGCCTCTGGAACTTTTTTGCTATCTGTAAAACCTAGAACGGAAAAGCATCTAGGTCCTTCTATTTTAAATAGCTTCTCGTCTGGTATTCTAACAAACTTTCCATGTCTTACTAAGCCACTCACTGTATCATGCATATTTATTTCTACGTCTTCCTGTTCTTCACATACCCTAAATAAAGACAATTTAATTTAATTACATATATTAAATTAATTATTGTTAGAGTTAAAAGGTGGTTGGGGATTGAAGACTTGAAATGAAAACCGGGCTAAGTGCCAAAATTAAAATTTTGAGAAAATCAATGTTTTTGATACCTTCCATTATTACAAGCAAAGCCAAAAAAAGGTAAAAAAGTCTGATAAAGTGACAACAATAAACACATAGATAACTGAGCTAAACTAAAGACTGAATATTTCTTTGAATTAGGTTATTTAAACATCATAAGTAGTCATTATTTTAATTTAAGGTAAAATTCTGCAGCACAAAATTAAATTTATCACAAATATAAACACATTAACAGCAAACTACAATAAACTAACGAACCGAATATCTTTAAGTTTTGTTTTTGACAGTTTTTGTTGACATAACATGTAAAAACGGACAGGATCGCATACGACATTTGAAAGTCGAATGCAAGTCAAATGGTTTAGACCCACTCGCGCAAAAGTGTGCGGCATTTCTCGCATGCGATCGTTGACGAACGGTTCGGAAATAGAAGCATATTGGTTTTCATTCGACATTCGCCTTATGTCGCACACGGCTTGATGTCGAATGGTTTCGAAAATACGGCCCTTCTGATGTATGTGCCACTGGTAGTGATTACATCATGATTTTATACTGATTTCATTACATCATGCGCAAGACTTGATGCGCGACATCTTTGATGCCGTATTTAAAGTACTTCCAAAGCGTTGGTCGCATAGCCCGTTTTATAAATTATTGTACAGGGTGGGTCAAATTCGACGCTTTTAGAGGGAAACACCCTTTTCAATGACATAGACGAAAACTAATACCTGTGTCTGGAGCTCAATTTGTATCAAAAACATGATGGTGAAAACTGCACATCGATATCTGTTACCATTTATGAGTTACGGAGTGTTTTTCAAAAATGTGCATTTTAACCAATCGCTGTAACTTTTTTGCTATGGAAAATTTTGTATTTTTATGAAAACATTTTCAAAGCACCTTTTTACGCAGAATTTAATGGTTTAAGTATATATTTTTAAAATTAATAATTTAAGAGTTATCAACAGAAAAATTGATTTTTTATTTGGGACACCCTGTATATTTTTAATTAAATGAAAAGAACTTAAAATTACCTTTCCAAAAATATAGCACACTTGATATTTTGTTATACTCCTCTTAGAAATACAGAATTTTTAAAAGTTCGCCACTTTTAACTAGTAGGCTTTGGACCCCTTATTGATAATCTCTATATATCTGCCCCTAATGGAACTCGAAAACATATTTTTCCAGTAAGACGAGGCACCGCCTCAGAACTCATCAGCAATATCTCAAAATTATCAGCAAATATTTTGCAACCAATTACGGGAATAATTGAATAGCTAACCAAGATCTCAGCCTTTGGCAAGGTTTCTATTTTTAAATTGCCCGTATAATCTAGAAAAGAATTAAAGTACTTAGCGGTTATGCGAGGGTATCTTTCATCCCCACTGAGTGAATGAATTCCGCGAAATTATTCCCCGAGAAATGTTCCAAAACGGTCCCGTGTGTCCATAAGGCTAGGCGCAAATTGAGTCGCGTGTATCGTGTGTGACATGGCGCGACCGGCATGACGCGACGCGGCTCTCGCTCTGCTTGTATAAAAACGGCTGCATAAAAATGTCTGATTCGCCATCGAAAGAATTATTGTTACTAAACTTTAGTCCTGAATTAGAATCAGATGATGCCGAAGTGTAAATTTTACTGTATTCAATCAATAATCAAAATTAATTCACGCGAACGCGAGGCACGCGTCAATAAAAGTTTTTAAATCGGTCTTAGATATAAATCTGTCCTATAATGCACAGCCGAAACTGCTTGACACAGAAACTCGAAATTTGGCAAATGCGTTCCTTAAGTGATGTAAGTGAGCACTAAGAAGGAATTTTTGGAAATTCGGCCACTAAGGGGTTGAAATTAGGGGTAGAGGGTTGCATAAAAAGTTGTTAAAATCTGTTCTAGGAGTATGAAATTTTGCACAGAGGTCTCTTAAACGGCGTAATTGAACACTAAGAAGCGATTTTCGGAAATTCAACCTTTAAGGGGGTAAAATTACCGAAACTAGGGGTGGAAATTTGTAGATTTTTTTTTTAAATTTGTCGTAGGAGTCAGTGGCGGCTCGTGACCCGTGTGACTGGGTGGGCGACAAAATTTTAGTTGCGTCTATTTGCCCCCCCCCTAATTTACATAATACCCTAGCCCAGTTTGTAAATATATGTTATCTCTGGGTTAAAAATATAGCTCAAAAATATTTCAATAAAATTTATTAAAATGGGTTTTAGAAGTATGAAATTTCAGTTTTTCTTATTTTTTAAAATATTTCATATATTTCCAATATTTCCATATATTTCCGAAAATATATTTCTGGAAATTTTACATAACTAGTTATTAGATATAGTTTAAATGTGTTGATGCTGTTAAATATAATTTAAATTGTAATAAAATGCAACTCTCATTGCCAATATTATTTTCGTTTTAACTGCTGCTCACAAGTAGAATTTTTTTGCATTACAGCCGGCGCAAATCAAAGCCTACTTATTCAAAGTGGGCGAATTTTTAAAAACTCTATATCTCGAAGAGGAATCGACCAAAATATCAAGTATGTTATATTTTTGGAAAGGTAATTTTAAATTATTTTCAATGAATTAAAAATATACAGGGTGTCCCATATAAAAAATAAAATTTTCTGTTGATAATTCTTAAATTATTAATTTAAAAAAATATATATTGTTGCGGGCCGGTCTGGACTCGACTTAACCTCACAATATGACCCGCCCTCGGATGACCTTAACATCGCATAGACACCGCAATGATTCATTCGTTCGAGAAGAATCGAGTCCCACTGGAATGGACTAGTACATACGAGAACATTCGAAAACCTTCTCTACGCACCTAACGATTTATGGACAATTCTAGAGTTCTTTACCTGTCGGTATAAAAGCCGGCGGCGGTGGCCTACAGAGGGCAGTTATAAATATACCAGTGCAGTTGACGCGCTAAAATTCAAAATAAATTCTTAGTTATAAATCGTTTGTAAATAGTTCTATAAGTCTTTTATCGTTATTGTTTTTGTTAATTAGTGTTAAATAAATAGTGTTTAAATAAATTGTGACTTTCTATCCACACGGAACCGACGAAAAACGTAACAATATTTAAACCATTATTCTATGTAAAAAGATGATTTGGAAATGTTTTCATAAAAATACAAAGTTTTCCATAGCAAAAAAGTTTGTATAGCAAAAAAGCGATTTGTTATGGCGCGTTCTGACGACTCGTGTACTTGGCAAGTATGTTTTATTGGTATACAGGGTCTGGCGGGAGTGTAGCGTAGCTCCTATAATAAATAACTTAGAAATTCTGTATAGATGCCCGACGCACCATGTATACCCTGTATACCAATTACAAATGTTTGTCAAGTAGAAGAGTCGTGAGAAACCGCCTTTAAAAATGCACATTTTTGAAAAACACCCATTTTTATAACTCCCCGTTGATACAAATTGAGCTCCAGACACCGATATTAGTTTTCGTCTATCTTCTATAGAAAAGGGTGTTTCCACAAAAAGCGTCCAATTTGACCCACCCTGTACATGGCACTTAGCGCCTTGATTTCAACTAAAAAGTATTTTTTTTAATTAATAGTAAATAATTACGGTTTTCATTTCAAGTCTTCAATTTATTTTTGGAGAACATTTACCAAGAACGAGACTAAACGAGCAAATGTCGCGAATTTATAATCAATGCAAAGAATATAGGTTGGAGAATAATAATTATCTTAAATACCATTATTTTTTTAAATTTGCTGTTGTTAGCTGCCTGAATTGAATTGATTTTATTTATTTTTTCTTGAAAACACTTCTAGATAGACATAATATGATAGAAGAGAAAAATAGTTACTTTTAATTGCCTAAAAAATTAAAAATTGCAAGAAGTCAGTCAGTGGCGTACATGTTTTTTTCAATTATTCTCGATAATGTATTCCCTGGGACACCACTGAAGTTAAGAATTTTAATTCAAGTCACAGTAAAATGTAAAAAATTGTATATAGGGAAAATTTTCATATGTGCTTTTACATGCTTGTTTGGGCTTATACATCCTCATTTGTGCTTATAAAAGCTTTTATAAAGGTAACAATCCCTTAAGCCGCGTTCTCAGAACGACGTTGTGTCGCTGGTGACACAGTTTGACATTTCAAACAACCAATGAGAGCTGTACTAAATTTGAAATTGACAGCTGTTTGAATTTTGTACAAATCTTATTGGTTCTTTTGACGTGTCGCTGGCGACAGTCGAAGTTCTGAGAACGAAGCTTATCACGAATGGGGACGTTCTCTCTATTACAATACTACTTAGGTACAGCTTTGAGTCTATTTTAAAATACAAACCTTTTTACATCTGTATCATTTTTATCCATTTGGAGTTTAAATGGTGGCTGACGGTCAGTTATTTTTATCGTGGGGAATGGCAATGATAGCACTGTGCCAAAACTGAGAGGCTCTGTCCAGGGCTGTTTACCTATTAAGAATTAAGATTCTTAAATTTCTCTTGCAATGTATCCATAATAATTTTATTTGTTGATTCTATTAGATTTATATCATACCTTTTCTGTACTTAAACGAATTGAACAAGTGTACTCCTAAATCGAAACTACAAATACAAGATTTTGTTTCGGTTACAATTCGTTTCACAAAATCGAAATATTCTCCTTTTCCTTCCAAATTTCTCATCCACTCAATTAAGTCGTGTTCAGAAAAAATGGTCTTAGAAGGTTGAACGTTGGGCCCAATAAAATACACAAATATATCATGTTGTTTTAAACTTTTAATTATAGATTCCTCAAGATGCTTATTTTTCTCAGACTTAAATGACTTCAAATCACTTATAACAACAATTTGTAAGGTAATTATGCCTAAAATAATTCTACTTAGTTTTAAGGGCACAACCACAAACTTATATGTACGTAGGAATACAGAGTGGCGTCTCTCATACGCCGCGGAAGCTCTAAGGAGAACGGTAGTTTAAATCGAAATGAAATTTTGGCTGCTTATGTAGGTTAACTGAAAGCATTTTATAAAAATATATAGAATTGTACAGGGTATCCCCGAAAAAAGTTACACATCAACGTTGTGTTTTTTCTAATGGAACATCCTATATGTTAATTGATTTTCGGATTCTAGGAAAAAAATAAAGGTGAGTTTTATTAAAGAAGCATATACCTAATATCTAAGGATTTTGATATATTTCACATTTTGTGAAAATGAAGAGAAAATTTTAAATTTCGGTAACAGCTATCGAAATTTTTGTTGACCTTGTATAGCTTGATATTTAATTACGGTAACAATTGTATGTTAAAAAAATTGAAATTTAACCCGAAAAGTTATACAGGGTGAAACAAAATTAATATGGAACATTAGTCACTTTTAAAAGCAAGTTACTCCATTATTTTAAATGGAACACCCAGTATATTTTTTCGGTGTTCAATAAGGAATTTATATATCTTCAAAATATTATTAATGTTGCCTACCCCTCAGACAAAGATTTTCCTATATATTTTAATTTTTATGATTTTCGGTCAGTAGATCTTTATTATTTGAAAAAATCTAGGTGGATGTGTGATATATCTGTTGTTAATCTAACAAAAATTAAAGATTGTCGTGTAAAATACTCAACGGTAATAAAAAGATATACGTTTAAAACATATTAATTATTACAGAATTAAAACTAGATATAATATAAACCTATAATTATGTGACAAAAATTAGCTAGATGAAACCAAATGCTCAAAATGCTTCCATTCCTATTAACTGCATAAAATGATTGTCTTTTCAAAAGGATTTTTTCATTTTAAAAGGTATATGTGGATTTCTACCTCGAAAAGCAGCTTTAACATATCCCCATAAAAAAAACCAGACTAGATAAAATCAGGAGCATTTAAGTATTCCATTAATTGGTGAATGCACATTGCATTGCATTCACCAAACTAATAATATATCAATTCTCTCTGATGTAGGATAAGTTTGCATTTTCGGCAAATTTCTGAGAAGTTTTTTTTTGTGTTTTACATGGCTGGGAAACTTAAATGGAAATGACAGTTCATTAAAAATAGTTTTTCCTCCAAGATGCAGAGGCGCAAAATATTAAAACTGTCAATATTAACAATGCAAATGTCAATATCTGACAATAATAAAATTTGATTTTTAACTGTCACTCAGAGATGCTTTTGTTGTGATTTTACGGTTTGATTTCGTTTTGATTTGTCGAATTATTGTAAAATTAAATTCCTTTAGATTTTTTGCAAGTATTCTGTTTCAGACAATGTTTTTTAAAAATGGTGGGACAATTTGTGTTTTGTAATAACTTTTAATTATTTTTTATCATGGAGTTTAATTGTTGTACACCTGGTTTCCGAAGGATACAATGGTAAGTAAATTAAACATATCTACTTACAGTTATAGATTTTTTAAATTAGTACTGCTAATAAATGCCACTTGCAGAGCAGTTATTTAATTTTTTTTACAGTGCATGTAAGGAATTAAGGACGCGCATTTTATATTAGCATGATCAGCAGATGATTACATCTGATTTAATTTGTTTTTATTATTTCAGGTCCCAAACGGAAACAAACTGGGAATCTTGCCTACACCAAAATTATATACCTAGCCGTTTCCAATTCACTTCAAAGGGAGGAAAATTATGTAAAACTGCCTGCTATTTGCTGAAAACCGCCAAAGATTAAATTATAACTGTAACAACTTAATATATACTATTTCTAGTTTTTTTAATATATTTTTTAATTAATATCCGACATATAAGAACACTTTGTATGCTTTTAATTCAGTTGATTTATCGTTTATAATATGTTCGACCTAATTAAAAGCACACAAAGTGTTCTTACATGTATGTCTAAATTTATTATGAATTTATTTTAAATTAACTAAAACAACCCCCCTTCCCCGCACCCCTCTCTTCCATTAGTTTTTCTTCCTCCGTCTACCAGAGGCGCCCTTGTATAATAAAATTGAAATGTATTATAAGTTGCCTATCTATTTAATAGTATAAGTCTTTTATCTATGGTGTTTTAGCTGACACAAAATGATAACTAGTTGTTAAAGTTGGACTAATTAGACAGCTATGTAGAAGGAACGTCAGACATATCCAGGAGCGTAGATAGGTGTATGCTATGGGGGTGGTACTATGATTAAGTCGCAAAAAAAATCACCGTCGGAATTTTTTTGTCGAATTAAAACGACGGCGATTTTTTTGTCTTCAAAAAGATATAAAAACATAACACAAAAATTAAAATATAGATTTGTAAATAACATAAACAAAAATGAAACAACGACGTTTATTAGTTAATTTTCTATAAACTATAAATAAAAAACTCTAAACTATCAAAAAAAAACTATAAAAACTATAAACTATAAATAAAACTACAAAACAAAATCAAGTTTTCTAGTACGCTGTTTGGAAAACCTATCAATAACAGCATCAACATTTATTTCAATATCTTTATGGATATTGATTAGAGTTAACCCCACTAATCTGTCCTGACCAATAAGAACACTTTGTGTGCTTTTAATCAGGTCGAACATATTATAAACGATAAATCAACATAATTAAAAGCATACAAAGTGTTCTTATATGTCGGATTTTAATTTTAAAAAATCCTTTCATAGTCAATGACTATTTCAATTCTCGTATCTCGTCAAGCGTCAGGGGGGGTACTGTCCCCCAGTACCCCCCCCCCCCCTTATCTACGCCCTTGGACATATCATAGCCACCTAGATTTTATCAAATAATAAATATCCAGGTACTCAGATCAAATCATGTAAATGAAAATATCTAGGAAAATCTTTGTTTGATGGATAGGCAGCCTAAATAGTATTTTGAAGAGAAATGAATGTGCATGAATTCTCCATTGAATATCAGAATAATATAGTGGGTGTTCCATTTAAAATAAAAGAGTAACATGCTTTTAAAGGTGACCAATGTTCAATATTAATTTTGCCTCACCCTGTATGACTTTTTGGATCAAGTTTTAATTTGATTTAGAGTACAATAGTTCATTTAACTAAATATTAGGCTATACCGGGTAAATACCAATTTAGGTAGCTTTTATTGTAATTTAAAAATGATTGTTCTTTATTTCTAGAAAATGTTAAATATGTCAAAAACATTACATTTTAGTCATATACTTTCCTTATAAAACTCACCTTTATTTTTCTCCCAGAATCCGAAAATCAATTAATATATAGAGTGTTCCATTACAAAAAACACAACTTTGATATGTAACTTTTTTGGCGACACCATGTAGAACTCTCTATACTTTTAAAAAGTGCTCTGAATTAATCTACATATGCTCTAAAAAATTTAATTTCATTACAAACTGTCGTTCTCCTTAGAGCCTCAGCGGCGAATGAGAGGCGCCACTCTATATTGTACTGCATTAGAATATGGGTATGGTACCATAGTAGCCGTTACCGGAAACAAGCCGCAACCGGAGAGACGACGCCGCACAGTAGAACGATTGTATGTTTGATGCTTCACAAATTTCTTCAAATACATATTCAGAAAGCCATAATTTAATCAACTAAAATCGAATTTTATTGATAAATTCACCCAAAGCTATATATTATGGTATACAATATATGCGTTTCTTGTATGGATTAAATAAATGACTTAATTCATGTGCCCCATACAAAAGTTTTAGCCCATATTTTAACGAATAATTTAATAGAAATTTTGAAACACTTGGGTGTTTATTTAACTCTATTCTCCGTGAAAATATACATTTTTCAGCGAAATTTATTATAGTTTGCGTCTGTCTTTCGTAATTATCAAAAGTCCCACCGAGTCCCGATTATTTGCTGGTGGGTATGACTTCTCTATTTTATGCTAAACTTATGAATACAAAGTTTTATTGCAGCCGCTTGCAGCAAAGATGGCTATGGAAAATTTTGTTTAAAATTTAATTTTTTGTGATACACTATACAACAATTAAGACTTTGAAAATTATTGTTACTGAGAATACATGTTGATATTAAAGAACTGGACAAATCGCAAGGTCATAACTCATATAGAATAAAAAATATGATAAAAAGTTCATTAAGTTTTGGAATAAGTATGAAATTATGCAGTTTAATTTGTAAGTCAATTTAATACGGAAATTCAAATAAAATATATATTCTGGAAAAACACCCCTGCACTATTCAGTAAGTTATCTATAATAAAGTTATGACTATTTTTAACAAATTTGAAGATTTTAGAAAACATTTATTCAAAAAAATGTCTAAGTTAGAAATTTTGCATAATTGCTGAATGTCCAGCAAATTGCATTGGGTCGATCCACTGTGCGCCGGCCACCCGGCTATGAATTACATAGAATCTGGCGCTGGCACATGTGAAAGCTCCGATAAGTTTCTATGTACCTCATCGCCGAGTGGACAGTGCCTGTCTATTAAGTAATTAAAAGTAACTAAGTTACATAAAGTAAATCTGTGATACAGCTGATGTTGTACTTACCAGGTTTATTAAACTCTTCTTCAAGTTCATTTATACCAAATATTATAGCTTCCATCCAATTTGACTCTCCCACTTCAAATGTTTTTATTGTGTTAATAAGAGCATCAATTGTAAGATTTGAATTTATAAGTGAAACACCCGCGCATTGAGCATCAACATTATGTGAATTGAATAGAAATAATTTACACTCATCCTTAACTTCTGATAAACGATTATACAGCAAAATGTTAGTTAAACTGTCTAAACCCTTCTGGCGATCTTCCGTTTTTAAATCGAAAAGAATAACACAAGACTTGGGAGCAGATGCAGGTGGCATCTTAGTAGTCTAGGAAGTTCAATATTATACTCACAGCTCACAGTACGTATATACTAGCAAAAACTAGTAACTTGTATTCTTGACTATATATTTACTGTTATAATGCTTTAAAGCTCTACACTTAGCAAATATCCTGTACACCTGTATATTGCTATTTGCACAGTTAATGTAATTGCAAAATAGCACAAAATTACGGAATTTAATACAAAAACTTGTATATTTTATTATATTGTATTTCATAAACAAGAAATACCAAATCAAATACTATACTTTCACAGTAATCACAGATTCTATCTCTAAAACTCTGTCTGATATCAGCTGCTATTTATATTTATATATTTTAAAACATGTTCAAACTTGGTTCAAACTTGTTTTTTGTTTTGAATATTTTCCTGTCATATTTGAATTTGTTTGATGTAGACCACAGCACAATACACATATACATATAAGGTACCACAGAATATGGGTACAGAATGCACAGAATATAAATAATATATTTTCAGAGATATAGATTAGTAACTAGATACATGTTATTCAGCGTAGATGGCTACGAGAATTGCATTGCGGGTCTTTCAAAAATTTGTATTTCTAATTAAGTGGGACAATCGCAAGAATGGTAAACTTGTGGCAGACTTCCGAAGGTAGCAAGTGCCCGCCACAGATTGGTTGGTTCCACGGGAGGAGAATAACAACCCTGAATGGCCGTCCAGCTGATATCTGTCAATCGAGGAAGAGGAAGGATTATTCTGTGGATAGACATTCGACCTTCAACATTAACGTTTTTCGCGCCAAGAAACCGAATGCTGATGTTTTGTAATAGTTATTTAGTTTGTAACAATTGATCGAGTTAATTAAATGACTTAATTATTTAGTGTGCCTAATTTGCTACCCGCAACGGCCACAAACTCTCTAGGTAAACTTATTAGGTTAATAATTCTTATTTACCATTGTTATTTACCAAGTCAAGTCATTTTTATAAGAACTTTATTATATTATTGATATATTATGTTATTTAAATTGATTTAAATTGTTTTTTTATGACTCTATATTTTTGACTTAAATCATGATAATCTGCAAGTTAAGTCAGAAAATGACTTAAATCAATATAATTACCCTCAAGAAAGCCCTCAAGTCAATACAACCAGAATTCAATATCTAAGTACCTATATTTTTTAAATGTTAATAATTTTCTTGTATTGCCGATTCCGATTACCGATTTTCTTATTACCTATAGGTACATATCTATATAATTAATTTATTTGAGGTACAGATGGGAATAAAAGCACTTAAAATAAAACGATTTATCTTCAGAATAACTACCAACAATAAAAATACCGTATGATTGGATAAAAACGGCGTCAGCGATGGCTATGAAATGAAGATCGCCGTCATTTTATATGTAAAATTATATGGGAAATGCTGGGGAAATGTCATCGATCGTCATTTCATAGCCATCGCTGACGCGTTTTATTCGATCATACGGTATAAGCATTAAGAACATAAAACACAACTTAAATAAAATTATATTTTGTGGTACTTTCACTTACCCCACTGTTCGGTTTTTATATGATTCAAAATAAAAAATATATAAATTGTAAAATTTGTAATTTTTTTTGGCCATAATGCGTTCTTTCAAAATCATGACTTTGAATTTTGAGACCAAAAACTGACAAATAATTTGTCAAAAAAATCATATTACAGCTATATGTTTTATTTTGCATAAAAATGTTAACTAATAAGTTAGAAGAATTATATTTCTTCCCTAACTAAGTGGTTTTATCCAGAGGTTTTATCGCTAAATTTATCTAAAGCTAAGTACAACACAAATCTTAAATACGTGGACTATTATAACAAATACATCGTAAAAGACTGTTTTTATAGCATTCTGAACGAGGATTCAAGTTAAACTTTATAGAAAATAATTTAAAGGAAAAATGAACCTGCTCGCAGATGCTTGTTTTAAGTAAAATCCTAGAGCTCTATGATTTGCTTTTATAAACTCTGACACATGATGCAGAATTGCATGAATCTTTGGAGTTATCTTAATACCTAAGTTGAGTATTTCCAATCTAATTGTTCGATGTCATGTTCAAAATGTTTGTTTAGTGCTTGACCAAAACAACTCGAAACTACTTGATTGAATGCAGAAAACACTGCAATATATTTATTCCTAAAAAAAAGATGTTTAGCTTTTTGCTTCTAAAAACTTTGAATAGGATTCTTTACTGGACGATATCGTCTTCAAAATATCCACTTTCTTTAAAAGTTGTCTGGCGTTATTTCCGTTACATTTTCCATAATGATCTAGTTTCAATCCCGCTTTTTTTTATCCATTCTGTTGCAACATTGGTATTCTCCAATTCAAGACAATCAAATAGTTTTTGAACCACACCTAATAAAAGGTGAAGCTCAGGAGGGGGAATATACTTTAAGACAGGTGTTTCTTCGTCGCCAATGATTAAAGGTATGTTTATACGGTTTTCTAAAAAATAATTGCCCTTTTTTATATTGTTCATTGAACAACAGTTTAAAAAATACAAAAAAAATATTTCAAACAAAAACTCTTACTAAAATCTTTGGCTTTTGTTATATTTCCTCTAGATTGTTGCCATAAATTTGTATTTTCTGTAATACTTTTGATAGTTCTGAATGATCCTTTAATGGGCAAGTGTGAGTGGATGAATTTGACATTTGACTGAAGTCCTGCTGAAGACCAAGGAGAATCATAATAAGCTTAAAGTCAGCGGCAAAAGTATAGGAACAAATTCCACATATGGACTGCAGATCTAACGTCTCAAAGAGGCTTTTAATGTTAGCATAAGATTCAGAAAACTTTGGTCCAAAGCCAATTATGAATAGTTTATTAATTCCAGCACTTTTATATTTCTTGAAATATTCGGGATCATTTTCAGAGAGCACATTCAGATAAACTTTAAGTGATCCACTACCACTATCAATGCCAATTTTTAGATGAAAATCTTCAGGTAATTCTCTAATTTCCTAAATATATGATAGAAGACCAGATAAATCTAAGCAGTATACATAAATTAATATTAACTGAATTAACATTTTTCCTATAAATTATTTTTTAAAATGTGATTTTCTGAACTTGAATTCTAGTTCAGAATGCTACCAAAATAGTCTTTTACGATGTATTTGTTGTTATAATAGTCCACGTATTTAAGATTTGTGTTGTACTTAGCTTTAGTTAAATTTAGCGATAAAACCACTTAGTTAGGGAAGAGTTATAATTATTCTTATTAGTCCAAACCAAACTTATTAGTTAACATTTTTATGCAAAATAAAACATATAGCTGTAATATGATTTTTTTGACAAATTATTGTTTCAGTTTTTAGTCTCAAAATTCAAAGTCACGGTACGTCACTGGATCTATGGAAATGATTTAGTTGTTCGATGATTTTGAAAGAACGCATTATGGCCATTAAAAAATTACTAATTTTACAATTTATATATTTTTTATTTTGAATCATATAAAAACCGAACAGTGCCCCCTAGAGTCGTCAAGTTGTCAAGTCGTTTGTTTAATTATATTTATATTTTATTATAAATATAAAATTGAGATTTACTGAAAATGTTAAATCGAAACGTTTTGCGCAACGTTAAGTTACACAATTGATTTTTTTAATACATTTTTTTTAAATGGAACACCCTATTTATAATAAATAGGGTGTATAATATTTAATTACTAATCATCTCAAATCGGCCAAATAAAATAATAGAATCTTCCTTTGTCTTTCAAACTATATATAAAATACGTCTGCTGGATCAGTGTCTATGAAAGGAATGCGGACAAAAAACATTTAAATAAACGTTAAATAACGTCGACTTGACGAGTACGTCACCGCAAATCGCTCCGCCCACTCATTTTATTGGCTACTTGCAAATTTGTCGAATTTTTATTGATGGAACGCGTCGTTTAATTTTTTACGAAAAACATCGAGAGAATATCGTTTCCCCTCTCACGGATACGTCGTAGCTACAGAACGCCAGAACGGACAGGGTGGACCATTTTGGTTGTTTCTATAGGGTATCTAGGAAACCGTAAGAAATATTCAAATTTTGATACTGCAGTCTCGGGTTCTTTTTTTGAAAAAATCACAATGGCACTGATCGTGGCTATCTTGATTAGCGATGGGAACTATCGAATGAATTATACTATCGAACGGTTACTGAATGAATGATTTCAACTATCGAATGGTTTTATTCGAATAAAATCATTCATTCATTTGTATACTAAAGCATATGTGACAACCTCGCGGTGCGACTAAATGGTTATCGTTGAGCCACGACTATCGAATGCTTTTCGTAAATGAAATTTAGTATTCGTTTGATTTTTGTGTGCATCAGTGCATTATTAGTTCTTCCAAATTTTTATAACTTCGCCGTATAAATACTGTGCTATTTTTGCGTTTATTAAAATATTTAAAATACTAAAATAGTAGTTTTTTTTTAATTTTATTTATTGACGATTGTGTGCATGTGCAGGTGGTCAAAATTTTTCCGAAAATTTGTGTGGTTTTTCGTAGTCCGATCTTTCAATTATTTAATTTTATATGGTATATGGTCAATTTTTTAATGGGAAATTTTGAGAAGTAGCAATTTTTAAGAGAGATGAGATGAACTTAGAATTTTTAGAATTTAGAATGAGTGGGAGGGGGGTTAATCACTTCGACCTTACAGATCCATTGTGTCCCCCTTTCTTGAATCATAACTCATCATACAGTCCCAGGGCTTTGACAAAAGCCAGTATCTGGGACGGTTTTATAGAGGGTAGTTCTCCATCTCCAATATCAGTGGTACCAAAATTCATGGCACGAATGGTTGTCGTCTCGGCGCACTCAGTGATGAGGTGTACTGGTGTTTCCCCATCTTTCCCACAGAATCTGCATTCGCCGTTTCTTCTTAGTTTCAATCTACTGAGGTGTCCATTGAGGAGACAGTGTCCTGTTAAAAACCCCGTGACAATCCGAAGATTGTTCTTACTCAGAAAGATCTGTGATTTTTCTTGATCATAAGCCCTCAGAAACTTCTTCGAGTGTCTTAGACCATTGCAAGATTTCCATTCCAGGTTGCGGATGGAATCTTCCAAGTTCTTGAGTTCCGCCTTGAGTTGGTTACCACTGGAAAGCAGAACGGTTCTGGTCCAGTTAGTGGAGTGTTCGCTCCTTTCCTAGCTAGATTATTTGCTTTTTCATTGCCTTCTATCCCTTGGTGAGCAGGCACCCAGTGTAGGAGGACTTTGTTTTCTTTGCCTAATTTATTCAGCTTCTCTATGCATTCTTTGACCAATTTCAAATCGATTGATACTGAGTTGATCGCCTTTAACGCTGCTTGACTATCAGATAAGATGGCTATTTCTTGTTTC